AGGTACTGAGGATTGAACCCAGGACCTCCCGTATTCTAAGCACACACTCTACTGCTTGAGATATACCCTCCCCACCCTGCAGACACTTGACTTGGTGCACAGTGAATATTACAGCAGTTCAGTTTGCCATTAAGATGTACAGCATGGACAGGATAGATTCTGAAAGTCCATTATTCATTTTGATTTTGTTAGTTGCTTTTCAATGTAAGTTTTTTAGAATGTAATTTGGAACATTTGAAATATTGCAATTTATTTTCAGCTTCTCATTATTAAAAAATTATATTAGGTGTTTATTTTATTGTTGACATTTATTTCCAGTACATTGTTATCACACAGTGATTTTATCAAGCATGGAGGTACATAAACTTTTGTCACATGAAAACATATCATGGCTGTTTGTTTTGAAATAAAATCCACTTATTGGCAAATGAATTAATTAGATTAAAAATAGTTGAAAATATTTTTGACCCTTCCAAAGATATATATAAGAAAACATTCAGAGGAATTGCCTTCTGGCTTCATGATTAGTTAATATGTAAAGTATAGAATATATTAATCACTATCTGTATATTTTAGAGTTTCTTTTTAAAGTCTTCAGTTCAAAGTTCTAATTCCCTTGATTATTAATAAAATACTTAAAAGTGCCTACTTTCAAGAATTAATTTTCCAAATCAAAGATGCTTTATTCCAGGATATTAAGAACATAGAGATGTTAGGGACACACACATAGGGGGCATAAACTCAATATTTCTTGTCTGAAGTGTATGCAAGTTGTAAGATATTCATATCAACAGTGATATATAAATAAGAAAAAATAATCATGCAAATTTAGGAAAAATAAAACAGTAATAATAAAAGTTATGAAATGCTACCAAGAAAAGTTAGTGACTACAGACCTGAATGTGCTCCAGAACAGATTGCATTTTGTGTTAGCCTGTTCACTTTCTATGCTGAGATCTAAACCATGCTGTTGTCTGGATGTGAATCCCAAGGGAACTGGTCTCAGAATCTGAAACCATGTCTATCTTATCCTTATTTCATTTACTGTCTATATGGTGTAATATTCACAATTTTAGGCTGTGCTAGAGAGTATCAATTCTGATCTAAAGAATTAGGAATTTAGCAGGAGTAAGAAGAGTTTTGAACATCAAAGCACTTTTTAAAAAGTCTGTTTTATTCTGGTGGAGAATTTCTTAGTGATCTAATAAAGCAGAATACAGAATACAAAATACTGGTATTCAGCCAACTGAAAGGAATATAGAATACAATGTTCCCTAAACTTATTTAAAAAATGAAATACCCATCTCACCCTTTTAATAGTGAAGAATGTATATCAACATCCCAGAACACATTTTGGGAAAGGCTAGCCTGAGAATAAAATCCAGATTCTTTGATATAACATTTAAGGAATTCCATGAGCTTACCACAGCTTCCACCTGCCACTTCTTCTGCTCCCACATGTCTCCACAAATCCCATAATCTAGTCAAGTTACAGTCACAGTAGTTCTCCAAATAATGATGGATACTTTAAAAGATTTTTCATTGTAAAATTTTTCATGCTTTTCTCTCTGTATTTCCAGTTAATTTAAACTCATATTTAAACATTTGAATATTTAAATTTAGCCTCCATTTTTGTTTATTTGTTTGCTAAGAACCTAGGGTGTGCTGTCTACTTTACCCTGCATCACATCAAGGGGTACAAGTGCCTGGATCTACCACTTTAGTGATGCTATTATGATCAGTGGATTTAGGTGGTGACGGCCAGGTCCCTGCATTGTACAAGTTCTCCTCATTGCAAAATTGTGATTTTCTATTATTCTTTTCTTTTATTCCTTCTACACTTATTGGCTGAAAATTCTTCTATAAAGAGAAATTTTCTCTAATCAGCTATAGCTATTTGAATACCTTCTATTATAGTTCATGTAGGGAAGTAAAAATAACTCCTTAATTCCTTTGGAGGAAATAGTTATTGCCCTAATGACACATATTTTGTGGGTGGTAGAAATATGTATTTTACTAGGTTTTGGGAGAATTACAACATCTGGCTTTGTTTCTACCACATTTTCCCAGAAATTTAACTTAACTTAAAAACTAATGGGTTTTGTGCTTCCTTCAGAGGCACATATATAAAATTGGAAAGATGCAGATATGAGCAGGGTCCCTGCACAAAGATTACATGCAAATTCCATATTTTTTAATAAATTAGGAGTTTGGGATTTGCAGATACTATTATATATAAAGTATATAACAAGGTCCTACTGTGTAGCACAGGGGACTATATTCAGTACCTCGTAACAGCCTATAATAAAAAAAAGAATATGTATAAGTATAATTGAATCACTATGTGATATACCTGAAACTAACACAACATTGTAAATTAACTACACCTCAATTTAAAAAAATGGGTTTTAATTTTGGCCCTAACTGACATTAAGGAAAATTATAGATTATTATTTTTCTATATATTTTTGGATAGTGCCATAATTTTTAGCTATGACTTATTTAAGCAATGTTTCCTTCTGAATTACTCTAATTTTAGTTTGACAAGTTTTGATTACATTTGAAGTCCCTCCTAGTACTTTATGTGTATTTAGTATTTAAAAGGCCAAATCTAGACTGTCCTTCCTTCCTCTGGTTATCTAGTAGGAGTGGATATACATATTTCTAAATATATAATGTATTCAGATCAATACATCTTTTCTGTTTCCTGCGCTTCAATTTTGTAAAACAAATACACCCAAAGCCCCAGTCACTTATTATTTCATTGCTCAAATTCTGTTTGTAACAAATTCATATGTGTACTCATATTCTTTTATTAATTTGGCTATTTTCAAAGTTTTACATTTCACTTGTTTTATCCTGCTAAACTATCTTTCTCCATTTACTGTCGTATCTTCATGTTTGTTTTTGTGACATTTTAGCTGCTTGAACGTCTTTCCTTTCTCATCAGTGGAAGTCTATCACATACTTTATTCTCACCCATTTCTGAGCTTCCCACAGTGGGACTTTGCTCTGCAACAGCTGTAATAGCTCCATTTCACTGCCAGTTGAAATGTCTGCCTTCGCCACTGATGAGGGCAGGGAGCCTACTTCTGTGTCCCTCGTGACACTCAGCATACTGCTTTATAAGTAGGCGATCAGGAAGGCATTGACAACTTACACATCAGCTAATGTATATTGTGTGTAATCCTAAGATAAAAGAATATAAGAACTTAAAGGGGTTTTGAAGAACATGTACTTCATTACTTTAGAGGTGTGAAAACTGAAGTTGGAACTTGCCCAAAGATACTGAAATCTGTAGTTGCATTCCTGAAATTAGACTTTTTTTGAGTATTTGTATGTACATTTGTGACTGTTATAGTAATAATGTTGCATTTTGATTTGTTTTGGTGCTCACTTTTCATGTCAAATTTGCCCTGTGTTGTATTTTTCAATGATAAGAAGGATTATGCTTTTTATAGGAATTGATCTTTGACTCACTAATCATTCCGATCATTTCATGACTTCTAAATTTAGTTTGAAATTACCATTATTGGCTACAATTTCATGAAACAATTCTTTCATCTTTTTGCTATACTAATGCTGTATTTACACCTCATTAAAATTAATGTAAATTATTAAAGGTTTTGAGTGTTGATATTGCACAAAATACTGAGGGCCATCTAGAATTAGATAGATTTTCTCTTTCCTCAGCTGCCGCCAAGGTGCTCGGTTCTTCCGAGGGAACTAAGGCTGCGTTGGGGTGAGGCCCTCACTTCATCCGGCGACTAGCACCGCGCCCGGCAGCGCCCGCCTGTGGCTCTCCCGCGCCATGGCCTCGGTCTCCGAGCTCGCCTGCATCTGCTGGCCCTCATCGTGCACGATGAAGAAGTGACTGTCACGGAGCACAAGATCAACCCCCTCATTAAAGCAGCCGGAGTGAACTTCGAGCCTTTCAGGCCGGGCTTGTTTGCAAAGGCTCTGGCCAACGTCAGCATCGGGAGCCTCATATGCAACGTGGAGGCCGGTGGGCCCACCGCCGCCGCCGCCGCCGCTGCCGAGAAGAAAGTGGAAGCGGGAAAGAAGAGTCCAAGGAGTCTGATCACGACATGGGCTTTGGTCTTTTTGACTAAATTTCTGTAGGAACACATCCAATAGAAAGCTGAGCCCTTAAAAAAAAAACTCTCTAGTGGGTTATAGATTAATAGTTATAAAATCAGCTCTATACCTTTATGAAAACCTCACCTTAGAATTGAATATGCTAAAATATACTGACCATTTTTTATGAAGAAGAGTTTTAACAGTTG